GCTTGAGTGAAGGACAGGTCACATGTAGATGTCCTTTCAGGCCTCAGGGGACCTCTCCGCTTCCAGGCAGCTTCTAGGGGCTACTGGAACAGTGACAGGTGAGCCTATGCCATTTGCTTGCCCTGGCTTTCCCCTTGCCCCACACGCTTACGGACTGCTTCACGGTTTAGCTTGCATTTCTTGCCGTCTGGGGCTTCCTGACGTCGGACAGCCTCTGCTGCTCCTATCTCAGTTACATTCTCCCTTCTGCCGTAAGAAGAAACAAACTGCACAGCTCGGAAAAACAATCCATCATTTTGTCATAACATTTCCATTTCAAAGACTTCCTCTCTAAGCTTCTCTCTGGCCAAACGCTTCCTCTCATTAGCATGAGAAGCACTGGCAGGGAGATGAGTGACAAGGGAGGGAGAGAGGCTGGAAATGGGCTCCAGGCCTGAGGCCTCTGCTGTGTTTGCTCAGGGCAAGTGAGGGGCTGGGCGGGCATGTGCCAAAGGAAAGCCTGTGTGTGTGTGTGTGTGTGTGTGTGTGGTGTGTGTGCGTGTATGTGTGCATGTGTGTGGAGATGCGTGTGGAGGTGTGTCTGTGTGTATATGTGTCTGTGTGTGTGGAGATGCGTGTGGAGTTGTGTGGAGGTGTGTCTGCATATGTGTGTCTGTGTGTGTGTGTGTGTGTGTGTATCTGTGTCTGTACGTGTGTATAGGTGTGCCTGTGTGTGGAGATGCGTGTGGAGGTGTGTCTGTGTGAGTGTGTCTGTGTGCATAGATTCTCGTGTCTCTGTGAGCTCGTGTTTCTCTGCGCTCATTGTTCATGCCATCCTGTCAGAGATTTGCTCACTGGTATCACACAGCACTAAGCCCCCCTGGGCCCTTGCCCAGCATCCAGTGTGGCAAGAACTCCCCTAGGGGCTGAGAATTCAGAGATGAAAGGCCCAGGCACTGCCCATCAGGGACCTGGTCAGAGACGGGTGTGTATGTGAATAACTACCACATACCTACCTGTTGCTGTCAAGTCAATTCTGACTTACAGCAACCCTATAGGACACAATAGAACTGCCCCCATAGAGTTTCCAAGGAGCAGCTGGTGGATTCAGACTGCTAACATTTTGGTTAACTTCCAAGCTGCTAACCACTTCACCCCAGGGCTCCACTGGATGATAGGGACAAGCAATTTAAACATTGCGGTTGTAAGGATCACTGCTGAACAATCAGGAAGCTGGAAGACAGAGTCTGGTGGAGTGAGGGTCTTCTCAGAGGAGGTGGTCTTGAAGGATGAGCAGCAGTTCACAGGTTAGAGAAAGTGGAAAGGGGCAGAGCAGGCACAGGGGTCAATGTGAGCAAAGGCCCAGCAGCAAGCCGTGCAGGGTGCTGTGTGTGGCTGGGGCAGAAGGACAGATGGCAACAAATGCATGTTGGGTGGATGTGAATGGCCCCTGAGGCTTCCCCAGCTGCCCTCTCCCTGTCGGGAGCCTCACCTGGTGGGAGATTCATGAGTGTATGAGCTTGGCCCAGCAAAGTGCCCCTTCCTTATCACAGCCCCTCACTGGCCCCCAGGTTGCCCTCCTTGACAAGAGAGCAGCAGGTATGCTGATGGCCCCTTCCCCAGGCCTCTTCACTTTTCACCCCACAGCCCCCCATAGAGGGCTGGGCCTGGCTGAAGAGGCTGATGGGCCCTTTTGCAGACCTTAAAACCCTGGAGGTGGCCTGGCCACCCTTCTCTGCCCTTCACATTGTCTTCCCAACAACCAATGGGGCGTTTCACAGGGACAGCAAAGGCATGAGTGTTCCAGGCTCAGCAAACAGGAAGGAGAAGACAAGACGAGTGAGTCTGAGTGTGTTTTGGGAGGAGGAGTTATTAAGATCCAAGAGGAAAACAGCACGAATCTTGAGAACCTCACTGGATGAATGAATCATTCATTCATTCAACAATACTTGGAGGCATTCCATGAGTTAGGCATCAAAGACATTGAAATGAGAGATGCACACAGCATCTGTCCCCGGGAAGCCCATAGTCAGTGAGGAGGCAGACAAGGAAACAAATGTCACAAAACTAAAGCACTATGCTAGGGTGTTGATTTTGGAGGTAGATCACCAGGCCTTTCTTCCTAGTCTGTCTTAGTCCATAAGCTCTGCTGAAACCTGTACAGCATCATAGAAACACGCAAGCCTCCACAGACAGACAGGTGGTAGCCCCGCATGAGGTTCATTGGCTCGGAATCAAACTCTCGAACTCAGGTCTCGGGCATGGAAGGCAAGAATTCTACCACTGTCCAATCCACAACTGATCATGGGGATGGCGCAGGACCAGGCAGAGTTACACTCCATTGTGTATGGGGTCACCATAAGTCGGCACCAACTTGACAGCACCTAACAACAGCAACGTTTTGGGGAGAGTGCTGGGTACACAGAAACACACAGCAGAGGCACCAAAACCAGCCTGGTCAGGAGTATCCTGAAGAGATTGGGACTGAGTTGAGGTTTGAAGGACGATTAAACATTAGTTAGACCGAGGGGCTGGGGTGTGGAGAACATTCCAGTCAGACCACTCTCAGCAACCAGCAGAAGGTCCCAGGCACAGAATGTGGGGCTGCAGGGACTCTGTGACTCTCCTGTTTGCCCAGAAGGGAGACAGCACACACACCAGTCTCACGTATCCTCATTACCCTCTGAGGACAGAGATCCCAAGGGGCCAGGTGGGCTGGGGCAAGGGTGGGTTTATTTGGTCCAGGCTTCATATTTATGAAAACCACCGCATTTAGACTTTCCTTATAGGGTCGCTATGATTCAGAATTGACTCAAGGGCAATGTTTGTTTGTTTGTTTGCTTTTAATATTAACTCCATTTGAGGTTGGGGTATTTAAAAATACAATTGTTATATGTAAAGCATTGAAATATAACAAAATTTTTGTAAGCCTATTTGGCATTTCTTTTTTTTTTTAATCTACCAGAAGCCTAAAAATAATGAAAGTGGCCCAATTCTGTCTCATTCTTGGCAAGTAGGTGGTATTGGTCTTAAACAAGGAAAATGAGGCTGAGAGAAGTGACCCAAAGCCAAAACATTCCTTGGCACCATGCTTGCCACCCTGACCCAGAACATCTCAAACACCAAGACCTTGCCCATTGCTGGCACTGCTCTCTGTTATTGAGGCCCTGGAATGTACTCCTGTACTCTCTGGCCCCTCCCCACCCCAGGCTCCTCAGCTCACTGGGGACTGCAGCCTGGAAGCCTCAGGGAGCCCTTCCTCTCCACTGCCCCTCCTCCAGCTCAGTCTGCTCTTTCCCTGCGGTAGGGGGTCCACCCCCTGTGCCCCTCATCTTGTTTGTCCTTGGGTACAGCTGAGAAAGACCCCAGGGATCCTCCCCAGGAGGAACCCCCAGGTGAGCCTGTCAACAGGATCCCACCCGCAGCTCCAGCTGCGAGAAGGAAGTCAGACTTCTGACTCCACTTCATGAAGAATGGTCTCCTTTGTAAAGTGTCAGGTAGGCCTGTAGCTTCTGTCTCCAGGAGGGAGGCTAGCTGCATCACTGCCTTGCCCCTCAGGTTGCTGGCAGGGACCAGCCTGTGGTTGGAATAAGATGGGGAGAGGCTAGATAGTAAGATGAGAGGCAGGGCAGGGATTAGATAGTAAGATGGCCCCCACCCCCTTTTGAAGACCTTCTGACAATTAAACTGCTATAAGGTATGACTTGGAGCCCTGGTGGTGCAGTGGTTAAGAGCTTGGCTGCTAACCAAAAGATCAGCAGTTTGAATCCACCAGCTGATCCTTGGAAACCCTGTAGGGCAGTTCTACTCTGTCCTATAGGATTGCTATGAGTTGGAATCCACTCAAAAGCAATGGGGTTTTGGTAAATTGTGACTTAAAGTCCAATCACAATAATGGGGGTGGAGGTGGGGAGCAGGACTGGCTGCCATTTAGTAAACAGAAGTCTGATCTGTTGCATGCCCTCCATTAGGGAAAAGACTGTCAAAGGAATGGGTGCAAAGAAAGAGGAGAGCCACAGAAGCCAGCATGTGCAGTGCCCAGCCAAGCACTGAACAGAGAGTCTTGGCAAAGCTGACTCAAAGATATCACCGAGAAGCTCGTCTGCCTGCTCCCAAGGTAGCTGAGAAATCTCAAAGTAACATAACTGAGAGAATCCCTTAGATACACTTGAATCCACTTGTTCTGACCCTCTGATAATTGTGTTCCCCATGTGGCTGCTCTCCAGGAAAAGCACACACACAAATCTGTCAACATGACCATTGGTCCATTGGACAACTGCAGTCCTCACTGGAAACCTGAGCACTGGCTTCTGCCTGTACCATCGGCCACTGAAAACCAGGCTAACCTGAGCCAGCCCTAAGCCTCGAGCCACTCTCTGAGAGCTGACAAATCAGGTTTTGAGTCTCTAAGACTGAGGATGGGACCCTGGGCTGTGGTTCCTCCCCAAGGTGAATGGTAACCTCAGGACCCTGACCTTTCCCAGATGCTCCCCATATGTTCTATTATCTGTCTTCTTCAATGACAACAACGCCCTTCTCTTTATAAACACAGAGTCTTTCTCTCTGTGGGTCAGGTGTTCCCTGCTCGGCCCCACACCACCAAGCCCTTGCCTCCCATGCCCAGGCACAAGTAAGTCTTGCCCTGAGAAGGTCTAGAAAGATCTATGGTGGGAAGACAGGTAGGCAAGACATGTCCTGAGTTTGAAATGGCCATTTCCCTCATGAAAGTCTCCACCCGTCAACTATATCCTCAGTCCTTCCTGACCAATGTGGCCCCAGTATTGCCAACGCACCATGTAACAATCACAGCCCACACCAAAGATGGTGCAGGGCATTGGCCCCAGTGAGGAAAAGGGAAGCTAGGCTTTGCAGAGAAGCGTTGTTTATTGAGAACCATCTGCCTGAAGTCCTGATGTGTGTGTGTGCGCACGTGTGTGTACATGCGTGTGTGTGTGGGTGTGCGTGTGCACATGTGCATGTTGTATATTTGGGGGCAGTGTGGTTCCTAAGCAGTGGTGCAATCAGATAGCTTTGGCCAGTCCCACACAGTTGTTGGTCCTGTCAAAGACGCTGTAATACTCCTGGATGAAGACGTCCCCCAGGATCCACTGCTGGGTGTCACTGGCACTCTGGAAGCCACTGATACAGGAGCCCAGGTCCTGGGAAAAGAAGGCCGAGGTGAGATTGGTCCCAGCCCCATTCACTGTGGCTGATAACAGGCATTTCCCTACCTGATTCCACAATTCTCATCTATTATTTCATTTCTCCTTGAAATCACCTTCTGAGGGAAGCAACCAAGTATCAGAATCCTCTCGCTCAATAGAAGAAGAAATTGAGATTTGGTAAAATAGTGACTTAATCCAAGATTGTCCATCGGGGTCCTGGAGATCAGAGACCCGGTGCTCTGCCTGTTTTCTCCAGCCGGCTGCCCTCCCGCTCTCAGCACTACTGCCTAAATGACCCACCAGGGCTGGCCTGGGGACCAAGGCAGCCTGCCCCGTCAGTTTGGGGTGCTCATGATTAGGTCAAAACTGGGGCCAGTGGATCAGTGGGAGAGGAGGGAAGGGGAGGACTGAGTGTCCACAAAGCCCAGGCTACTAAGAGCTGGGAAAAGCTCTAGGCTCCTGGTCTTAGGAGCCCAAGCAGCAGATGGTGGTTCACACAGTGAGTTGTGGTCCTTACCTTTCCCACTCTCCCTCCCTGCTCATATCCATGTTCTGTCCTTTCTGTCTCCCCCATTTTCCCCAAGGATGAGGCTATAGTACCCATGAACGAGGCCCAAGGACAGCAGGGCCCCACTCAGAAGGGTCAGTTGGTCTGAATTGATGTCCCTGCATTCTCCATCTAGTCCATGCCACCTCCTTATCTCTTGTTTCCTTGATTTGCCAGAGCCCCAACTCAGAGAGAGAAGATAGGGTGCTAGGAGAAACCCAAGGGATTCCTCTCAAGAGACTCATACCTGGGTGGTGTAAGCAGAGGGTGGCAGTGGGTATTGTCTGCCTTGGATCTCGAAGACAACCGTGGGCATGCTGCTCAGTCTCTCGCAGTCAATGTCAAACTAAAGAGCCAAAGGAAGGTCTTCTTAGAGCAGAAAATGGGGTGTGATCTGACCGGAAGAGGCGCCTCAGTGCTGAAGGCAAGAGAAGCAGCCAGGGCCAGGACTCCCTTCCGCTGTATGGAGTGAACACAGGGGAGTGAGAAAGGGGCCCTGCCTGCTCAGAGAATGACAGAGATGCTCTCAGGCCAAGTCTGGGTCTTGAGACATGGTTCTCACACTGAGGGGGACCAGCCATCAGCCAACCCAGGGACAGATCCCAGCATGGGGGTTTGCTTCAGTAGCTAGCCCCCTCCAGGCCCAGCCAGAGCTTTCAAGGACACCTGAGAGCATTCAGCTGTCAGGGAGGAGGGGATGGACTTGTGGGTGGAGAAGAAACAAGGGGCACAGCAAAGGTCAGCGAGTCAGGGAAGGCACAACTCACCCAGAGGCCAGGAGGACAATTGCAGCCACTGCATGAAACATGGCAGCTCCAAAGCAACAATGGTCCAAAGCCAAAGGCCATCCTGAAGGACTCTCGAGGAACCCCATCTCCATTGGGAAATGGGGTCCCTCACCATCTGCCTTTGTCATTTCTTCCAGGCAGCAAAGGGACCTCTACTTCAAGGGGCCTGGGGAGGTGGAGTGGGGCCTGGTCTTACCTCTCCATACTGGCCCTGTGTGGCTCCAATGACCTTCTGGATGTTGAGGATGTTGCTTCCTGGCCCAACTAGCAGGGAGGTGCCTGTGTCCAGGATGGCCTGACAGCTGCCATCACAGGCCACCACCACGCCGTCAACAGTGATGCTGCAGAGAGAAACAAGATGTGTGTCCAGCATCCAGTCTCCCTCCCTGAGTACTTCCCACCCTCCAGTGCAGGACCTACACCTGGTCGCCTTTCCTGGGACCCCTTCCTGGAGCCTCTGTAACTTCCTGAGCTCAGAGAAAAGACCTGAAACTATTGTTTTTCAACACAGTGGCTATATCAAAGCTGTCTTCACCTTCCATGGTCAAACTTGAATAAAACAAATTTAAGTGCATTAATGGGTAGACTGGGTACCATACTTGTTGCCTGAAGATCTAGTTTCAGATTTTCACTCTGCCATTTCCTTGTTGCCTGTCTCAGGCAAGTTACCTAACCTTTCTGCGCCCAGGCTTCTCATCTACAAAATGGCGACAACACCACCCACCTTGACTTTCTCAAGGGACAGTTGTGAAGTTCAAACTCAATGTTAGTAAATTATAGAAGCGGGGGTAATAGCAGTACCCACCCCACAGGGTTTTGTTGTTAACTGCCATCCAGTTGACCCTGACTCATGGCCACCGCATGGATCATGAGATATGACCATTGTGATCCATAGGATTTTCATCGGCTGATTTTCAGAAGTAGTTCACCAGGCCTTTCTTCCTAGTCTGTCTTAGTCTGGAAGCTCTGCTAAAACCTGTTCAGCACTATAGCAACACTTGGTGGATGCACATGAGGTGCACTGGCCAGGAATTGAATCTGGGTCTCCTGCAGGGAAGGTGAGAATTGTATACTGAACCACCACTGTCCTCCACACAGTTTTAGTGAGGAATAAATGAGACAGTCCATCACTTAGCACAATGCCTACAGGCAGTAAGTGGTCAACAAATGCAGCTATTCTTACTGATAAAGTATAGAAAAGTGGGAGACATCATCGCTGACAAAGGGCATTTGACCTCGGAAGTGTCTGACTCAGACTCTGACTCGTCAGCCTTATGAGTTACTATACTGCAGTTGTGCCTGGCACCCGGGTCCCCACGTCCCCCCGGGCCACACCTACCTGTGCACGGTGAACTGCCAGTACTCTTGCACCAGCACGGGTACCCAGTGCAGGGAGCCCATGTAGTAGGACGAATTAATGGCCCCCAGGGTGAGCATGCTCCCCTGCTCATTCCTGAAACCAAGGAAAGGCCTGTGTACCTCGCTGACACCAGCTCCATGAGGGTGTCCCCGCCCACACTAGGGGAGATGAGACCCGACCCTACCTTCCCCCAAGAAGCTCCATGGAAGTTCTCCCAGCCCCTTGATGCCCCTCCTCAGCCTGGGCTGAGCACCCTTTCTGCCCTTTGCTCTGCAGTCCCCAGACCCAGGCAGCGCCTGGAGCCCAGCATACACATGAAACACGGCAGGGTCTGGAGGAGGGCCTCAGGGATCAGGCCCTCTCAGAAGCCTCACGTGGAAGTGTAGGGTAGTACGTGTCAGGAAACTCCCGTGTGAGGGGAGGTCACAGGTCACGGGACTCAGCCAGGTTCTGCTTCAATCCCCTAGGTGTTCCAGTCATGTCCCTGTGCCCCTGCCCTCAGCCTTTCGGCTGCAGGTAGGAGAGAGGGCCATCAAGGTCACTGATACTTTGGATTAAAACTGCCACCCAAGCCCAAACCTCCTCTGTTCCATCTATAGAATGGTCTCTGTGCAACCACTAGGAAATGCTCACACACATACCCTTACCAGCTCCCACTCTGCTTCTTTCAGTTCCTAGACCTTCTCAGCACCGTCCCACCTCCAGGCTCTCACACATGCTGCCCCCCTGCCTAAAATGCACTGTCCTTCTCTCCCACCGAGGAAACTCCTACTTGTTCCTCCTTCTGCACACATACCTTCCCTGTTATTATTAAGCCTTCTTTGCACCCAGACTTCCCTGCAGCACCCTCATCACAATTGTTTAAATACACAATTGTTTAATCGTGTACGTCATCATGGGTTGTCTGTTCCCCCTGCCGAAGTGTCAGCTCCTAGATTGTCTTGTTTACTGGTGCATCCCCGTCTCCTGGCACAGCCTTTATACATAGCAAAAAAACCAAACCAAATCAAACCCGTTGCGATCAGATCAATTCTGACTCATAGCTGGTGGTTTCGAACTGCTGACCTTTTTGGTTAGCAGCTGAGCTCTTAACCACTGCGCCACCAGGGCTCTTGTACATAGTAGGAGCCCAATAAATACCTATCAAATGGATGAATAAATAAAGGGATGCAAAATTTATCCCTTTCCAGAGCTCAACCGCCCAACCCCTTCTCCTGCAGGTGGTCCCCTTCTCTCTATCCTGCCATTTGGTGCCTCTCTGTCTGAGCTGTGTTGTATCATCATGGGGACAGGACAGTAGGGTTGGGAGCACTGGACTGGGAGTGACCGTCCCTCCCTGGGCCTGTTTTCCCCATAGCAAAGGAGAAGGTTGGACTCCATCAGTATCGGCTTTAAAAGTCAATAAATTTCTGCAAATGATTACTGAGAACCTACCACTTGGGAAAAATTAAAAGCCCCTATACAGGGATGGGGACAGGATTTATTCTTTTAATGCCAGGCATCAAAGTCAAATTTTGGCCCAGTGAACTCTGGCGCATAAATGACTATATTGGGGCCATTTGGCAAGAGGTTAGATGTATCTTTTCATTCTCCCTGGAAACAAGGAGTGGGTTCGTTTGGATGCTGGTGACTACTCTTGAGTTTCAGAGTGTCCCCAAGGGGTGGACACTGCCCTTAGCCAATAATCCGTCTAAGTCTGGTGGTGGCTGGCGGCAGTTCCTACCTGCTCATGTAAACCGAGAAGAGGTCGTGGGCCACCAGGTGCCTGTACATCATGTTGTCAAACACAGGCACCAAGTACTCAGAGGCAAGAGAGGGATAGGCCATCCCCAGGATCCCATCAAACTTGGCGTAGGTGAAGACATTGCCAGGTTCCTGGGTGCTCAGGCCCACAGTCTGCTGGGGATCCACAATGTCAGAGACCTGCAAGAGCGTCCACAGTGACCTCCACCTGCAGCCGGAGACAGAAAGTCTCGGGAGTGGAGGACCAGTTAGGAGGTTATTACAGCAATCCAGGTGAGAAATAATGGAGGCTTGAACCAAGATGGCACAGTGGAGGTATGAGAAGTGGTCAGACTCTCCATCTGTGAAGGCTTTGAAAGAAAGTCAATGGGATTTGTAGACAATGGGATAGGGCAATGAATGGCTAAACAAGTAACTAACAGCTAATGAGCATATTTAATCTTTACCACAACCCTCTAAGGTAAGTATCACTGCCTCCATATTGTAGATGAGGAATTGAGGCTTGCCCAGAGTCACACAGCTCGAGAGAGAGAGAAGTCAGGATCAAACCCAGCTGTATCCCAGAGCCCTGCTCCTGACCACAGTGCCCAACGTAGTAGATACCCTCCCCTCTCCTGGGTCAGCACCCAGCAGCTCCTCCTCTGGACAGAGTGACTCTTGGCAGGGTGGGGAGACTCTCTGAACATGAGCTGAGCTGTCCCTGAGGTCTGTACACAGAGCCCCCTTTCCCTGTGGCTCTCGTTACAGACCCTCCCCTGCTCCCTGGCCTCGATTCTGCTCCTGTCATTTGAGCCATGCCCCAGGCTAAGCCTCCTGGACTTCTTCATCTTTTCATCCCCCTAGAAGCCTTCCTGCTTGGAACAGAGGGCTGGGATGGTTTCCCTATTTGGTCCTCACCTGGACCCTGCAGCTGCCACCCCTGCCTGGCCCAGCCAACGCTGGTCCAAAGACACAGAGGGCAGGTCCTGTGTGGGGTCAAACCAGGCTGACAACTTCCCTACATGCCCCACTCCACACTTCCATGTGAGGGTTCTGGGGAAGCCTGATCCCTGAGAGTCTCCTCCTCCCCTCCCCAAGTGGATGAGTAAAGGCAGCCAGATTGTATCACGGCTGGGGACACTAGGCACAGGGCTAGCTCTTCAATGAGAAGGTAGGTTCTTCCCTGCACCCAAAATAGCAGAAAGGAAAGCAAATAGCTCCAGAAGGGCAGAGGAAGTAGGACACCCAGGCGCAGGAATTAGCTTTCCAGCGTGTCAGCTGGGCCACCTCAGTAAATGGCTCTGGCGCCTCCATTGTCTGGTGCTATCCCTTAGGGAGGCCTGAGCTGGGTGGGCACCTGCCCAGCCAAGAGAAGAGGATGCAGAAAGGGCTATCAGCAGGGAAGCTGTGACTTTCTAGGCTCAAAGCAAGAGAGACTTCAGGTAGACCCAAGAAAGAACCCAAGGAAAATCAAAGTGACAAGCACGAAGCAAGGCTGCTTGAATTTTAACCTTGGACAGTGGGTGAGGAAGGAAGGAAAGAAACCAGCATTTACTGGGCATTACTAGGTGTCCACTAAAGCATTAGGTGCTTTGGAAGCCAAAAACAGGAGAAAGGAGCTCCCTGTTCAGGAGGGCAGAGATGCTGCTCTTCGACTTGAAAGAAGATGCTATCTATGACTCAGAGAGTGAGATCAACAAGAGAGCCCTGCTCAGAGGGTCGAGGCCTGGGTCTGACACTCAGCTCCCGCAGTCACCAGCTGTGAGACTTCAGGCAAGTTATCAGCTCATCTGAGACTCAGTTTCCTCATCTGAACATTGGGGATAATAATACCTTCCTCAAAGGCTGTTGGAAGAAGGAAACTTAAAATGAGATCGTAGGCGTGTCCCTGAGGAGCTCAGTGCTGACAGGCTCACAACCCTGAACTAACTGTGGCAAGGGGCACAGGAAGGAAAGGAAGGAAGACAAATTTTAAAAAAAGGAACGGGGTGATGGAATCCTGGACCTGGCGAAGGCTCTCAGGTGGTCTTCTGAGGGCTGAGAGCAGGAAGGAGAGCAAGGAGCTGTCTGCTGGCTAAAATCCCTTTCAGAATCCAGACCCACCAAGCCACCCAGGGTGGGCAGGACCCAAACGGCTCCCCAGCACCAGCTAGAGATGTAGCCCCCAGAACCAGGGTGTCTGTGGTGGGGAAGTGGCTGGTGGAAGAGGAAGGGCGAGCACTGGCTGGCCCTGCGGTCCCACTTACGGTGACGGTGTCATAGCCCAGAAAGCCTTGAATGTTGCCGGTGCCGTACTGACTGGTCAGGGGGTGGCCCATGTTCTGGATGGTGGAGGCCTTGGACGGGTTAAAGCGGTGGTGGTTTTCTGGAACACAGACCCAAAGTTAGCGGGGACCCTGTAGGAATCTTCTCGCCACCTCAGCCATGCCAGCCTGGGCTGAAACACTCGCCAGACCTGGTATGAATACTTTTCTAAATGCTGACCAGCAGGGAAAATAAGCAGCGCATACTGTCTATAGCATTGTCTAGTAAAGAAAGTCATTCTTCGCTGCTCAACTCACCTCTAGCAGTGCAGCTACAAAAAAGAGAAGTGGGGGGACAAGGAGAGAGGGAGGGGAAGGGGGGGCCAAAGAGAGAGGGAGGGGGAGGGAGGGGGATTCGAGAGAAAAGGAAGGAAGGGAGGGAGGAAAGGAGGAAGGTTTCCGAGTACATTTTACTTTTACCAACTGAGTAACCTTAGTCCAGTCCCTTTTCCTCTCTGAACTTTGGTTTCCTCATCTGTAAAATGGGGCTAAAAAGAGTACTGGCCTCCCAGGGTTTTTTGGAGATAAATGATTAACATATACTAAATGGTTACTCATCATTAGTAATAGACCTTCTCACTTTATTCTCCCATCACCCACTGGCACGTCATAGCCCCATTTTATAGAAGTGAAAACTGAGGACCCAGGAGGGTAAGCAGCTTGCATTGGCTCCCAATAGAGACAAAAAAAAACTAAAAGCCAAAAAAGCCCATTGCTGTCGAGTTGGTTCTGACTCGTTAGGACCCTACAGGACAGAGTAGAACTGCCCCATAGTGTTTCCAAGGAGTGGCTGGTGGACTCAGACTGCTGACTTTTTGGTTAGCAGCCAAATGCTTAACCACCGCGCCACCAGGGCTCCAGGAACTTTATACATTAGACCATGATTTGCAAACCTGGAGGGGAGAGATGGGACACAACCAAGGCAGGAAATGTCAAGGCAAACTCTCCTTCCATGCTACATTTCCCCTGGGCTGCCCAGACCACCAGCTGGCAGAGTGGCCCTGGGGTGTCAGCATGAGGTGGGAGGGAAGGCGGGGAGGGGAGGGAGGTCACTCACGACAGGCATCACTGTTGCAGTAGACAGGGGGCACCCAGAGGTCTGAAGAGCCTGTATCAAACACCACAGTGAACTCCTGGGGCGGGGTCCCAATGTAGATCTTTCCAAAGTACTGACTCTGAAGACAGACAGCACTGGGTCAGAGGCACGGGGTAGGAGCTCTTTCGGTCCGTAGACCCTATGCTTTCTGCCCGGAGCCTGGGAGCATCTCGTAGGCAAGGTCGAGGGGAAGAAATGCAAGGAGGATCCCTAGGGAGGGTTCCTCGTCTCCAGCCTGCACGCTGGCCTCCCACATCCAACCCTGCTTGGCCTGACCCTCCCACAAGCCCTACCACCACTGCTGGAATCAGCCCCAGAAGTGAACATTAGACCAAAACTTAAATCCTGCCTGGTAGGGAAACTGAGCCACTCCTGCCAAGGGCAGGAAGAAGCTAGGCACAGAGGAGGGGCATCCTCTAGGGACGGGGCCCCAAGTCCCAGCCGGAGGTGTCACTGCTTCCTCGCCAGTCCTCCTAGGTGTCAGAGCTAAGGCTGGGGCCAGGGTGAAGATGACCTAGATAAGGAAATGAGAGCACAGGAGAGAAAAAACGCTGGTTGTTTACTGTCAAGAGTGACAGATGAGACAGAGACAAGCTCCCGGAAAGAAACAAGGCACAAAGGATATCCCTGCCTGAGTCCTGAGTGGGAAGAAGACGAAGATGGTGGCCGTGTACCGAGCAGCTGCAGAATGGACACCAGACTAAGATGTGGGTTTCTCTGGGCTGTGAAAGGCAGGCAGGAAGTTGGGTCTAGAAGCCGATGGCGTACCCCCGACTGATGTGTGCAGGAAGGTGTCTGAGCTCAGACCTTCCAGCGGTGACATTTGCAGCCTTGAAGGCAAGACCATTGCCCTTGCTGGGTCTGCTGGCCCATTGCAGGCATTGCAGGGGGCAGGGAGGTGTCTTCCACACCTCACAGGGCGCCACGATTCCTGAAAGGGGGAAAGCGGCAGGGAGGCCGAGCTGAGGGGAAGAGCCCATTGCACCCTGTGAGAATTCATTCCCAGAAAGGCTGGCAGAACCACTCACGTCCAGGTAGTTGGTCAGAGGCTCGCTAGCCACCTCCCCGCAGTTGGAGTACTTCCTGCCAATTGCATACTGGTGTTTTCTCAAAAAGTCATCCAGGAGCCCATTCTCCTTCAAGGCTTGTCTCATAGACTTCCCTTTGTGCAGAGGGATCCTGAGGAGGTGAGGAAGGATTAACGTAAGTGTGGGGCATCTCCCTCAGGCTGCCCAGCCTCTCGGAAGTACCCTGTAAATCACTCTCCACCCTGCTGTTGCCAGCCCAGCCTTCTGGTCAACCTTCCATTGACCCCAGGCCAATGGCTTTCAATTTTTATCATAACTCAAAGTAAAAACTACATTTTACTTCAGTTCACAAATCAGTGCCCACCCTTACTAAATGCAATGCACTCTGATATTTTCTATTCCTTTTTTTTTTTTCCATACTGGTGGAGATCCACTAGATGTGTTTTATAACCTGTTGATGAATTTTGCACCGTGCAATTTGAAAGATACTATACTCGTTATCAATGACTCTGTCAAGCAAATTCTTGCTGTGTACCTACTATGTGCCAGGCATTGAGCAAAGTACAGGGGACACAATAGTGAAAAAGATAGTCTCTGCCCAGTTCTGGCAGAGAACTCTGGAGAGTCCCTTTGCATTTCCTCTTTCACTAATGCCTGTCTCCACTATCTGGATAGCTTTTACCCTAACGATTAGAAATTCTTCAAAGGATTTCTCAGGGCAGGGCCTGGTCTGCAGGGACCTCCTGACCTAGATGTTGGACGATGAAGACAGATGAAGGGGAAGAGAATCAAGAGGGAACACAGCAGAACCTGGTTCTAGGCCCAGCTCTGCCCCATCTGTGGCACTACGGGTGTCTCCCCGAAGTCCTCTGAGTTTCAGCCTCCTCCTCTGTAAAAGGGCTAACTCCTTTCCTTCCAGCCACTCTCCTGGCCCTGCCTTTGACTAACCAGGTGTCCTAACCTCTTGGTTTCCTCTCCTGTAGACCGCAGGAGTGGAGCTTCATCGATTCCCAAGGCCACGTCCAACTGTAAGAATCAGGTGGTCTTCCTGTGTGGAGCTGGTTCAAGGATAACGTAAGGCTACAGATGGGAAAGTGCTTTGAAAGCAATAAAATGAGTTTTCTCATGTTGTTCACATCCCAAATGGATTCCATATGAAACAGTCCTGTACATGAATCATGATCTATTCTCTGGGTCCCCCACCCCCAACCTCATATGTGACTTCAACCAGAACCTGGCTGATCAATGAAAGGTCCAGGAAATGTTTCTCAGCCCTTGTCTGCAATGATAGCAAAGGACTCAGGCACCTAAAAGGAAGTAGGCTGGACTGAGCTCCTGGGACCGAGTCTATAGCTACCCTTTCCTGTGTCCCCATGCCCAGGCCTCCAAAATGTTTTCTGCTTGGCTCTAAGCTCCAGTTCCTGTGTGGATCTGCAGGATGCCTGGTGGCTCCCACAGAGAGTAAGTGAGACTCTGCTGAGGTATCCTACCCCAGCACACGGCCTCAGAGAGCCTCCCTCTGAGAGGAGCCAGCGGCATCTGGAAGGCAGTCCTCCTCCCCATGCCGAGAACCAGGAGTGCAGCTGTGCACGGAGACTCCACTGCAGAGGCTGCCTGAGACCCACTGCCACAGAAATCTCAGCTCCAGTCCTGCCTCCAGTCTCAACACAGCTTGCACTTGGAGGAATTTCATTTTCGGGACCATCATGAGGAGCCCTGAATGGTCGAAGGCACCCAGACTCCTTTTCAGGGAGCCAGCTTCCCTAGGGAGGGGGCCAGATTTCCCCCCATCTCAGGGCTTAGCCTGACAGGGCTCAGACACAGGCACTTCGAGGTGCTGGTTGTCGTGGTGAGAATGCAAATCCACCTGGGACCAGGCCCTAGCTTATCCTTTACTAACCATGTGGCCTTGGGTAGGTCAGGGGCCCCCTCTGAACAACAGTTTCCTCATCTATAAAATGCAAATAATAGTATCTACCTAAAACAGTAGCCGTGAAGATTAGGGATAGTGTAGGTAAAGACCAGCTCAAGTGCCTGGCACCTAGTAACAGCTCAATAAATATTGTCTATTATTTTTGGAGGAGTATCTGGGGCCTTTGCTCACAAAGGACTTGGTATGACAGAGAATTTTATATCGCCTAACAAATGCTTATATAGCTCTTGGAGCCCAGGTGGGGCAGTGGTTAAGAGCTATGGCTGCTAACCAAAAGGTCGGCGGTTTGAATCCACCAGCTGCTCCTTGGAAACCCTATGGGGCAATTCTACTCTGTCCTATAGGGTCACTATGAGTCAGAATTGACTGGATGGCAACGGGTTTTGTCTTGTTTAGTTTTTTTTATATAGCTCTTACTATGGGCCAGGCACTGTTCGAAACATTTTACAAGTATTAACTCATATAATCTTCATAACAACTCTGTGAGACTGTATCAAGGATTGAATTGTGTCCCCAAAAAGACATGTTCAAGACCTAACCCCTGGTACCTGTGAAGGTGACCTTATTTGGAAATGAGATCATTGCAGATGTAATTAGGTAGGATGAGGTCATGAGAGTGGGCCCAATCTCTACGACTGGTGTCCTTTTAAGAAGAGAAGAGACACAGAGAGGCACTGAGGGCAGATGGCCATGTGAAGACGGAGGCAGAGATTAGAGTGATACCACCAGAAGCTAGAAGAGACCAGAAAAGATCTTCTCCTAGAGACTTCAAAGGGAGCATGATCTTACTGACATCCTAATTTTGGACTTCTAGCCTCCAGAACTATGCCAGAATAGATGTATGTTGTTTGAGGTTATATAACCGGTAAATCAGTTGCTGTCGAGTCAACTCCAACTCATGGTGACTCCACATGTGTCAGAGTAGAACTGTGCTCCATAGGGTTTTCGATGGCTGATCTTTCGTAAGTAGATTGCCAGGCCTTTCTTCTGAGGTGCCTCTGGGTGGATTCTAACCTCCAATCTTTAGATTAGCTGCCAAGTGCATTATTGTTTGCACCACCCAGAGACTCCTGAAAACACATAGTTTGTGATAATTTATTACCACAACCCTCAGAAACTAATACAGATGGATACTGTTATCATCCTAATTTTACTACAGATGAGGAAACCAAGGCACAGAGACGTTAAGTTGGTGATAGAGCTGGGGTTCAAATCCTGGGCAATTTGACTCCAGAAACCATGCCCTTCATCTCCCCAAGCCACCTAAGAAAGATGGCTGACTCCCTGTTCTTTTTCACCACACCTGAGGTATAAGGGCACATTTAGAAGAGAAGATCCCAACGTGCAAAGACAAGAGTAACAGGGAGGGATTATCTTGGGAACATGCAGCATTTTCTCCAAAGGCTTCCCAGGGGAACCGCAGGCTAGAGGATTCAGGAAAGGCCCACCCAGACGGGACACAGGAGATTCCCCCCCTCAATGGGGTCTTACACTCACCTGGTAATCTGATTGCTTTGGAAGAGCGTGAGGACTGCAAGAAGCACCGCGAAGCCCCTCATCCTGGACCACCAGCTGACCCCTGCTCTAGCCAGTGCCCATTGCCACAGCCTTTATAGAGGGAAGGGGGTTCCTGCTGGCTAGAAGCCTCACCTGGAAAGATAGCCCCTGACTTCAGGCCGCTCTGCAAACACACCGAGACAACATCAGACTGTCTAACACCCACACTGATAAGGCCACAAATTCCATCACCTGGCGACTTCAAACTTGAAGCATACACATGCCTGATCTCCAAGCCAGGAAATGTAACATAGGCCTCTCCAAATCTGTTTTCTCTTTCCAAACAGGACTTCTTGAACCAACACAGGTGGGGCTGCTGCCAGACATCTGACCCATGTCCCACATTATGGTCTGTAAAGAGGCCTATTCTTAACAGACCTTACCCCTGCCCTGTCTGCCTCCCTTCCTGGACCTGACTGTACTTTACAGCTGGTGGTCTGCCCTGTCCAGGAATCTCCCACTTCAGTCCTCACAGACCCAGTTTTCTAGGGGAGACTCAGTTTACTCCCAAAGTGGCCTCTGAGGCAGAGTGCTTGTTCAGTCTGTCACTCCGGGGGCGTGGGAGTCTCTTGGCCCAGGGAACAGGGTTCCTCGGGGTTTACAGCACAGAGCAGGTGCCACAGGGTACAGTCTAGACAGAAGGCAGCCTGAGGCTGATGCATTCCCTAGGGGCATGGGCCCTCATTCCATATTAGAAAATGAGGGGAAATAAGAGATCACATTAGCAATTGGGAGAACCAGGAGGGCTGAGCAGAGAAGGCAGACATGAGCCACACACATAGAGGAAGGAGAGAAATACGGCAGTCAGGCTTAGGAAACAGGTTGGGCCAAGGCTCAGTATCTCAGTCCCACTCAAGGGTCCAAGGGAGCTTTTCAGAAGCACCACCTGCAGAGGGTCCCAGAGTCCAGGCTGGAAGGCTGAGTATTCTCTCACGCCTGTAGCCTGAAAAAGAATTCAAACAAGAAGGAAAACAAAGACTATAGCCACAAAGCAATGGAGGAGATCATGTCCTGGGGTGAGGTGGGGCTATAAACTGGAAAATCAAGATCACGTCAGCATGACGGGGCAGCACAGGTGAAGGCAGGGGCTTTGGGAGCACGGCCTGAGGGAGCCCTGTGTGTGCAGGCTGTGGGCTGCAGATGGTACGGAAGAGGAAGGCCGTCTACCTGGGACACAGAGGGCTGCTGAAGTAGCTAAACAGGTGAGCATCTGTGGGTCCCAGGACATGGCCGGCCTCAGAGAGGGGGATAGACTTAAAAGTTTAATATTTGATTTGTAAGGGTCTTAGGGGGAAGCCTTGGAGGACAGTCAAGAGGGCAACTGAGGATATTTTTGACAGAAGCTAGGAAGATAGCTTGGAGTCCCTGGGTGGTACGAAAGGTTAAGGTTCAAGTCCACCCAGAGGTTCTTTGGAAGAAAGGCCTGGAGATCCACTTCTGAAAAATCAGCTATTGAAAACCCGATGGAGTACAGTTCTACTCTGACACCCATTAGGTTACTATGAGTTGGAGTCCACTCAACAGCAACTAACGGGAAGATAGCCAGATCTGATCCTACCACAGTAATGCCCCCTCCATGCCCCCTCATAAAGCTGGGATCCCAGAAGGCTGGCCCCTATACCCCCGGGGTACCACCCACAAGCACACCCAGCTGTCTTCTTGGCACCCTCCCTCCCCAAAAACCAGGGAAGCAGAGAGAAAATCTTCCACTAAATGGAACAGCTTGTTTTGTGTTTTCTTTCCTGTGGCCATTGCCCTGCCAGTCCAGGTCCTGCAGCCCTGTGACAATCCCCCAGCATCTGAGTGGTGCTTCCTCCCACACATCAGCACCAGGTATAATACGTAGTAGCTGCTCAGTAAGTGTTAAAAAGAAAAACGAATGAATGAAGAGTGGCCTTCCTACCACCTGTGAGGAGTAGCAGGCAGCTTTGTTCTTCTGCCCTGCAGATTAGCAGAACAAGGCTGAGAGAGGCTAAAGGACTTGTCCGTAATGAAAACAGAGCTTGAAACGGTCAAGAGACTCTTGATCTAATGCCTGTGCATGATGCCACAGGGGCCGGTATGCTAGGGGGCTCTCATCAGGTTACGTGGTTATATCTGGGGCAGGTCTGCTTCTCACTTGCTCTTCCCAACCTCTGTCTGTCCTTCAGGGCAGTAGGTCCCACCTGCAGCATCTAGGGCCCAGACCCTCTGGGGTTAGCAATATGAGGTGGGAGAGAAGCAGAGGGGAGGAGAGAGAGATTGCAAACTCTGTTCCATGTCACCAGCGGCAAACGTTCTTGGATGATGAATCTTGGAAGTCAGACTCAGCTGTCTCTCCCCTGGAAGGTGACCCTCGGGGCCCAGACTCAAAGCTCTCTTGGCACTGGTTGCTCTGCGTTTATTCACAAGATTGGGATCATTCTACCAGCACTCAAGTGCGGCACTATCAGGAGCACTGCCCCAGCACAGAGCGTCTGGCGAGCTTATCGATGGAGGGCAGGCCGTGAACTCAAAAAGCTTTTAGAAAACCAAGATAGGATTTCAGTGCCAGTTACCTGGTGCAGGGTGAGAACGACCACCCTTGAGCAGCTTAGACTCCTGGCGCCTGGGGACTGACCTACAAAAGTGACTGAAATAAAATCACCGCCGAGGGACACCTCTCCTCGGTATCCACCTTGTGATGTCTACTCTGATACAAAAAGCAACAAAGTCAGTTCAATTCAATTTGTTGAGCATCTACTACGTGCTCGCACTGAACACACTGAGATGGACCTGAAGTCTTCTCTGCCTTAGGGAGCCCAGAGTCAGATGGAGGAGAAGTTGGACCTAATGTGTGATCACAATGCAGTAGAAAGCAATTGAAAGGGGTGAACTCTTCCCATTGCAAGGGGCCAGTTGGCAGGGGGAGTGGGGTCTCTGAAAAGGGCATGTGTGACATCCTGGGTTCAAATCCTGCATCTGTCATGTAGTGGTATACCCTTGGGCAAGCTCTTTCTCTGTGCCTTGGTTTCCTCTTCCACAGAGTAGAGACAATGACACCAAGAGGGTTGTGAGGACAGGAGATAAGCGTGTCAAGTGCTGCCAAGTGTTAGGACTTCGACAAACATAAATGACTGCAGTGAGTGACCTTGAATGGCTCACTGCATCCCAGCCTCCACTTGCTCAACTGTAAAACACGGGGATTTACTAGCTCATGGAGCTGGTCTGAATCTCAGGTGTATACACAACATCAGTTCTCTTCGTGTTCTATAAATCAATTGAATTTCTGCAGTGTGCCCCTATCTCTCCAGGCTGGGGAGGGGAGCAAATTAATCTTGGTCATTTTTGTGGAATGCCCGGCAGATGTGCTTGGGCCCATGTGACTTCTCAGCACGCCAAGGTGCTGGGGAGTGCCTGAAGGTCCTCTCCTGTCTCTGTCGTGGGCTACTGTTGACTCCATGCCACAGCTGGGCAAATCCAGCCTTCTAGAGCATGCCTGGGTCATACCCCCAAGACAGGCCACACAGCCACGCCAGTCTGGTCTTGCCAACTCCCTGGACCACCATTAGGAAGCAGGGTCCAGGTCCCACCACTCAGGACCTGCCTGTCCCCCACTCCTTCCGTCACACTGCTTCTTCCTTCTACGTCCTCCAAGGACCCTCAAGTTCTCCAATGGGCTTAGGCTTTAGGCAACAACATCCTGAAAATCCTGCGGGTCACTTCGGTTTTCAGCCTTGCGCACACCTTCCCTGAAGCAAAGAAAGGCAGAACAAGTTTTTCTTTCCGTGTGGAAAAGAGAAAGAAGAAAATGAAAACATGATTCAATATCTCAAAATATTATTCAGCCACACTAAACATAAGTAAGCTTTATTGTATGCTTACTTAGTATCAGACACTGAGCATTTACCCCTTTAAAATAGCTCCATGCTACAGATGAGCAAACAGGGGCTTAGAAAACCAGTTGTCATCGTGTCGATACTGACTCATGGTGACTCCATGTGTGTCAGGGTAGAAGTGTGCTCCACAGCGGTTTCAATGGCTGATTTTTCAGAAGTAGATCACCAGACTTTTCTTCCGAGGTACCTCTGATGGACCTGAATCTCCAACCTTTTAGTTAGCGGAGAATGCATTAACTGTTTGCACCACCCAGGGATTCCAAAGCTTAACACATTTTCCAAGTCACTCTCTAATAAAAGGTGGATCTGGGATTTAAACATGGGTCTGTTTGACTCTTGACTGCACCACCTCTTAATTCAAGCACGTAACCCTCCCAGCACCAAAATTCAGCAACTCAGCAAAGGTGACCCCATCATGCCCACACCTGACTAGCCCCAGAGGCTGAAGAAGATGAAGCGGCCTTGCGGTATTTAATATAGGACAGAGAGAGAGCAATGAATGGCTCAACTGGGAGAGGCTCTGGGAAGGGAGACGTGGGAAACACCCCAAAGACTGTCCTGCCCATTTCTAAAAGTCCCCACCCGGCTCCCTTCCTCCCCACAAAGCCATCCCTGTGAGCCAAGTAGTGGCCTGTCCACCAGCCATGTCAGCAGAACATTTGGGTGAGAATGGCTCCCGGCCTCAGAACCTGCACCTTCCTTGCTCTGCGTTAAGCAACCTGGGCCCTGGAAACTCTGCCCAACACCTCAGGGAACTGCCAGGTCCTCTTGGGAAACAGGGCAGGGTTGTTGGTCCTACCCTGCACACAAGAGAGCGTATGGTTGGTTATGGGAAACAGCAATGGTGGCACCCGTTGCAGGCTCCTGATTGGGATGGAGGGATAAGCCAGGAAAGGGAGGAAAAAGACAAGGCAATGCCCACAGCTATGATGCAGGACTCGGCAGGGTGAGCAGCTCCCAGCACCCAATGGGCCTTACCTGGCAGAGAGAAGCATATCGACTGATCATCAACACCTTATCAGGCCACTCCCACCATAGGAGTCCTTATCAGTAAAGAAGATCCAAGACAAGCTACTGACTGTCTGGGGCCTGGCCCCAGCACCTCATCAGCCTCATCTCCTGCAATTTCCTAAACTGGAACTAGG